AATTCTTGACAGCAGAATGATCTCGAGCAGAATAAATTGAACAAAGAAAAATGTAACCCAAATGGAAAATCATCTTTCTAATACTGATGCACATGAGACTCTAGGTGGAGAAGAGATGACTGAAATAAAGAGATTTACTCCATGACAGACAGAGGTGCACCCACATAACCTGTGGTGAGTGGAAGAAACCCACAATTGCAGTGAAATGATATCTCCTTAATGTTTTATTGGGCAAACCTCCTGACCTCTTTTAAATGAATATCATCTGCACCCTGTTCAATAGCCCTTTCGGAGTTGGCTAAATGATAAGATTTGTCTTCCTTTTATCTGAGGAGAAGCATGAAGACCCCCCTCCCCAGGAGCCCAGAGGCACTTCTCAGAGCAGGTTTCAGGTTGTATCTTGGTCTAACAGGAAGCCTGTAATTTTGATGCATTCAGCCACGGAGGTGTGGTTGTCAATCTACTTCTCCTCTTGAGTGTTCCCTTCACCCCTCATCCATGCAGGTTTCCAGCAAAAGATAAAGCCTTGTTTTAAACTTGGAGTCTGTTATCTTATTAACCAGAACAAAATCAATCCAGGTAAGTGAGCAAACATAAAGAGAGACAAGTAACAGGGGTGTGTCTCTTCCATTGAGCGGTTCATGGCTACCCACACCAGTTTGGGGCTGAGACAAGCAATGTCAGTGTTATCTGCTGTCCAGATGGTTTCTCCTATCTGAGCTTCTGTTTTCCCCTCAGGCATGAGTGTAGTTCCCTCCTGCGCCTAATACCTGATGGGCTTGGGGTAGAGTGCCTAGGGGTTGGAGTCCAGGAAATTCCTTTCTTTGCCCACCTGGGCTGCCCAAGAGAGATTTCTTTGGAGAGATCTCGAGATGAGCCAGGAGTTGGTCACTCTGGGATCCAATCAGTGTGCTGGGTCAGATGGAAGAGAGCAGTAATGAGTGGCCATGAGCTAGGGGAGGACATGGCAGGTTAAGCCCAACAGGAGCAGGCAAACGGACATGCTACATCCAAAGACTGGGGATGGTGACACCTGTGGCTCCGGACTTGAGAGGGAGTAGTCTCAGAGCCATTTCGCCTTGGACGTAGTCAGAGGAGTTTGTGGTTGCTAGGCTGGGCATCTTTCATGAGTAAACCTGAACTCCCATGTCAGGCCGTGGGTGATGAATTAGGATGTCTGGCTCCCTCTAACTCCAACTTTTTCTACTGTTGGGCAGATTTGATCAAACAATGGATTGTTTTGGAGGAAGCACATATATTATGATAAGGAAAGAACATATTGATAATATATTTGTTTAGAAACTGTTTGGGGGTTTATGGAGGCATATTGGTGTCCTTATATATGTGGAGACATATTCTCTCTGTTATGTTGGTAGAATTAAAAGTGTTGAGTAAATCAAGAGAGCAGGTCTCATACAGTAAGGACTGGGAGAAAGAGACGAGATTAGCAGGAGGGAGCCCCAGAGCATGGCCACAGGGAGGAGGTCCAAGAGCACAGCCGGCTGTGGACCAATTGGAGCGGAGGGTGCTACCAAGAACCCACTCAGCAGCCCCCAACCCACCCCAGTTGCTTAGCGGGTCTCCTGTAGGAAAAAGTGCAAAGTCCTACTCACCCAGCTCAGTGCTCTACGGAGCTGCCACTTCTTTCCTCCTTAGGTCTTCCTTTCCATCCCACTTGACTCCCATTGCTGAGCAGCAAGAGACCTCTATCCTCCCCAGGAAAGATTAAGAGAAAGCACATTTGTGCCTCAATGACCTATGTATTTAACAGCAGTCCTGGGAAACTCTGTGGCACTTCCTCAAGGACTGGACCGGTGATGGTATTGCAAGGAGAAGAGCTGTAAGCAAAGTAAGGAAACTGATTAGAAGTGGAGCACTGAGGTCTTGCTAGCCCCACCTTGGGAAATTGCAGTGGAAAGAAGATGAAGACATGAGGGATGGACTTGGATCAGAAGGAAACAAGCTGACATAGCAGGCTTTGGTGCATACAGAGTGGGCACCTGCCTGTCCTGCCTTTCCTGGCATGGCATAAACCACTACCCACAAATCAAGGGTCTCACTGGGCAGCATCGCGACCTAGGAGGGAGGCTGGACATGTGGCGGTGGGGTTTATTCCCTTGGTGGCTTTTGTAAACCAGCAGCAGTGTGGCAGTCAGCTGCTTGAGCCATCCCTTGTCCCTTGCTGCCACTGAGGCAGGTTGGACATTCCTAGACAGGGCAGTCAAGAGGGTCAATATCCAACCATCAAAATCCCAGTCATCCTCCAAGGCCCGGGTCATCTCTCATCTCCTCTGTGAAGGCTGCTCTGAATCCTCCCAGTTACTTGGATTGGTGTTTCTCTTTCATTTCATTCTGCCATTGGTTGTGTGTAATTGTTCCTCCCATCAGACCTGAGCTCCCAGGGGCAGGGACTAGGTCTCCCACAGTGCCCAGTCTGTGAAGCTGAATGAATGGCTGGAAGCAGACATGCTTAGGCACACACGGAGCCCTCTCCTTGCCCTGTCCTTGTTGGTGAGATTTGTCGGATGGCTTATTGGTGTGGGTTGTGTACCATGCATGTAGACCACACCTCAGAGCCCAGAGCTGGAGGGTCACCAAGTTTTGGGGCTATGGGAGGTAGGGGCCGAAGTGTCCCAGCCTCACTTGTCCTTGTGATCCATGTGTCTGTAGAGGAAAGGAGAGCTGTCTTCACAGGCACAGGGACTCAGTCCCTAGGACTTGTTTCAAGGTTCTTCTTCCCCTCAATAGTAAAGGTAGTCGGAGAGAGAGTGGGCACACTCACGAGGAAGGAGCTGGCATGGGTGAGCTGGAGAACTAGCAGCAAGGAGAACACTCACTCACTGTAGGAATTCGAATGCCCCTCCTCTGTGAAGCACCCCCTGCCCAGTGTCCTTCTCCGTGGTGTATCCTCCTGCAAGCAGAGTTCCTTGCTCCTTTCTGTCACTTTCTCTCTCTCTCTCTGCGGCATCTGCTCATTTCTCCTACCTCAGCCCTTATAGCGCTGTACCACGTGTTCCCTCTCCGTCCCCCACTCCCATCACTGTGCTGTGAGCCTCTCAGGAGCAAGGACAGCATGCTCATGTGTCATGACACTCGGTGCAAACTCCCTGATATTTCTTAAATGGGTGAAGAGATGAAAGAATGAGTCAATAAATGAATGAATGAATGGGCTTCAATTGCTGTGAAGATTAGGGAGGCAGAGACTCATAGAAGGAATTCTTGATCTGGGTTCGATTCCAGCTCTGCCACTTACCAGCCATCTGACAAGCCATGGGCCCTGGCTCCCTCATCCATAAGATGGGGATAAATAAGACTGATGTTAGGGGCCTGGTGGAGAAGGGGGGCGGGCTAGGCAAAGTGCCCGACGCAGTGGCTGCCACTTGATAGACACTCAACAGAGGGAAGGTGCTGGGGCTGCCTGACTCAGGGTGTTGCAGGACACCAAACCATTTGGAAAAAAGTGCCTCTGATGGTATGCAATGGCGGTGGGGGGGGGGGCGACTTAGGGGTGCCAACAGTAAATTAGGGGTGCCGACTGGCATTCAAAACCCATAGCTATCTGCTACATTACTATGATCATAACTGCAGCTCTTAGGGGGAGGCAGAGAAATGTACCTATTTTGTTCAGCTATGGAAACTGAGGCCTGGGGAGCCTGTCTGTTGAGGAACCAGAGAGAAATGGCTTCAGGAAACTGGGAAGCATTCCCTCATTCATTCAACTAGCATTCATTCATCATTGGGCACCGACTGCATGCCAGGCCCTGCCCACTCACTTCTACAACAGCCAAGGAGTCTGGCTGAGCCAGGTGGGAACTGAGCAGAACTCCCCACAAGCTGGTCTTCGCCCCCTTGGCCTGAGAGTGTGGCCGGGAGGAGAAGGCAGTGAGATGCCTTGCATCGAATGCCTTCTGTGGGTGAAGGACTCAAGTCACCCGATCAGGTTGAGTCACAAGAGCCTCTGAGCCAGGCAGGCTTCCTTTTCTCCGTTTGCTGATGAGGAAACAGAGATGGGAGGTGAAGTGGCTGGACCTCCACTGCTCAGGCAGGACTCAGTGGGGGAAAGGTTAGGGCCTGGGTCATCTGGGATCCTCGGTTTCCCTAAGGCTGCACAGGAGGGCTGGAGGCCACCTCTCAGCTATAACCCAGCCTGGTGTGTGGGAACAAGGGTCCTGACTAGGACAGCTGGTGCCACCTTGCAGAGTTCGCAGGAAAGCACGGTGACCCTTCCTACCCTGGATCTGTCGTGCCCTTGCTCTTTCTTCATTTGCTTCTTTCCTCTGCTTCCTTGATTTTACTTCTCCCTTCCAGGCTGGCCTCTGCCAGAGGGCGATTCCACATTTTTCTAGCAGCCTGTGGTTTGGCCGCCCCCCCCCATCTCAGCCCCAGACACTGGGCCAAGAGGCCCAACGTGTGCAGGAGAATGTCTAGTCCCAGCTTCCCCGCCAAGTTCAAAAGGCAGCAGCTGCATCCACGGGGCCTGAGGCTGTGCAGCCAGAGCCTGTCACTGTCATGGCACTAATGAGCATTTCTACTCTGTGGGCCTGGGGGTGACAGTGGGGGTGGGGAGGGGCTGGCAGCTGAGACTGATGTGGGAACAGCATCCCGGGTACCAGCTGGATCACTCACAGCCAAGGCTAATGTGGCCCCCAGGGCACGGAGGTGTGCTGATCAAGGTGAAGCTTGGGGGCTTCCTGCACCACTTTGGAACCCGAGGACTCGGTTCGAATCTCAGCTCCACCACTTCCTAGCTTTTTGACCTTGGGCAAGTTAATCAACCTCTTTGACCCAGCTTCCTCATCTGTGAAGTGAGGAAAATAATTGCCTCAACCTCAAGGGGGTGGCTGTGAGGATTAAATGAACTAGTCCTTATAAAGCATTTAGTTAGTACTCCGTAAACGTTACCTGCTCTTTTCTGGTCCTCTGCCACTGCCTCCGTTCCCAACCACCCACCTGCCCTTCACTTGTGCCTCACAGCTGCTGTTTAAGGCAATCGTTTCCCGTTACCAGCCCGAGCTGACCGTCCTGAGATGCTTCTCTTTCTTGTGCCTTTCGATGCTTCCACAACTGAGTTTGCAATCTGTACTCACATGAGCTACACACAACATCTGCCCTGGGTTAAGGATGGAAAATAAGAAAGAGGAGAGCCAGCCACTGCTCTAGGCTTTGCTACCACAAAAACACCAATGAGATGAGGCTCCGGTGTCCTGCCCACGGACCAAATGCCCAAATGGCCCTCCCATGCCTGGATTTCTTGCCTGGAGGGTGAAATACTTAACAACTCAGAGGGGACCTAACCAATCAGAATGGACCCTCGCCACAGTGAGAACGGGGCACTTGGGGAGCTCTTGACCAACTGGCAAGGAAGTATTTGAACAACTGACATTGCTGCACAGATGTGTTCTGGGTCTATAGCAGCTCTGCCGATGGGAGGAGCTGGTGCAGGGCCTGTGAGGAGTCTGTGTGGAAGGAAGCCAGTCCTGTTTTCCTCTCTCCATGGCCACATGACAGAGCGTTGAGAGAATTAAGTGGCCTTGAGGGGCTAGAAGTGTGGGCTGGTGCTAACCGTGTCTGCTTTGCATCCAACCATCCACTCCTGAGCTTTGGTATCTTGAACGAGTTTTTAACCTCTGAGAACCTTGGTTATCCAACCTGTGAAATGGGGGCAATAAAACACACTGGGCTGTTGAAAGGGTAAGAGTTATAGGAAGCACCTTGCACAGGGCCGAGAACGCAGGGACTGGCTGAGAAAGTGGGAACAACCCCTGCTTCTCTTGAGGCCACCCTGGTGTTCTTTCCATTAGATGCGACTCCCTCCCACTCTGGGGGTAATGGGGTGCAAGTCTTCCTTTGAAGCACTTGCTCATCCACACAGCCCATGCTCGTTCTTTCATTTGTGCAACAGGAGTTTATGAAATGCCTACTCTGTGCTGGGCACGGTCCCAGCAGCTGGGGATGCCCCAGTGAACACTCCGGACAGGCCCCGTCCTAGTGCTTGTCTTTTGGAAGGGGAGGCAGCATTATGGCGGTCAGGCCTTTCCTCTGCCTGCAAGCACACAGCAGTCCTTGTCCTGGAGGTGACAGATGCAACAGCAGCAACAACAAAACGCACCAGACAAAATGCCAGGGCAGAGGGGCAGGTGTTCACAAACGGGGCCCGGGTCAGCGCTTCCCAGCTGGGGCTGCACCTCAGCGCCACCTGGGGGGCTTCTAGAGATGCGCAGGCCACATCCCAGACCAAGGGCATCAGAGTCCCTGGGGGCAGCGCCCAGGTACTAGTGGGTTGTCGAGCTCCTGGAGTGACTCCAGTGTGCAGCTGAGCTGACCAAGGTCTGTGGGGTGGGGCTGGGGTTCTAATGGCTGCTTGGGCCGGGGATGAGCCCCCCATGCAAGCCTGGAGTCATGAAGTTCTCTGAGTGGGTGAAGGGGAACCAGAAAAACTTGACCCGCCAGCTGGGCTAAAGGGGTAAAACACTGGCCATCTACCTGGGGCTGCAGTGGACAAAGTGTCACCCGTGAGAATTCGAGGCTGGTCTGTATCCCCTGAGAGTGCCAGGACAGCGGTCACACGGCCAGCCTCTTGTCAGTGCCCAGAGCAGAGACGCTGACAATAACGCTGGAGGGTGGCTGCTTCCACGGCCCAGGGCACAGGACACCACTATGGAAACACGTCCCCACTGAACATTCTAGAAGGGGAGGCAGACAACAAACAAGAGAGAAAATACGTCAGTTTTCTCAATCCTGGCTGCGCTCTAGAAGGAGCTTTTAACAGTTTCCAGAACTATTGATTAAACTCACACAGAGTGTGGTCTGGGCATTGGGATCTTTTACGAAGCTTCTCAGGGATGAGAACTACAAAATTAATGAGGTGATTCAGAGACCACCTAGCAGGATGATGTGATACATACTAGAGGGTAATCAGCTGAGGGAGACCGGGGACAGACTCCCCAGGGGGTGACATCCAACTTCAGACTTGAAAGATGAGGAGGAGGCAGCTTGCAAGGAGCTGGGGAAGAACTTTCCAGGCAGAGGGGACAGCAAGTGCAAAGGCCCTGAGACTGAATGAGTCTGGAAGTTTCCAGGAGAGGCAAAAAGGCCTGTGTGGCTGGAATCTAGTGAACCAGAGAGGAGGAGTTTTCAAGACCTTCTAAGCCACGGAAAGATGCTTGGAATTTTCTTCTAAGGGTGAAGGAAAGCCACTGATGGGTTTAAGCAGGGCAATTACTGCAGCAGAATCTGGAAAACACAGCTGCATGCGTTTAATTTGCTCTATAGCCCTGAACCTCTCGCCTTCCCCTGATCCAGCTTCTCTCTCTCTCCCCGACCCTTTCTTTGCATTTTCACAATAACTCTGAAAGAGGTGGCCTTCTTCAGTGTCTTCTCCATTTTACAGATGAGAAAGCACCAGAGTAGAGGGGCTTATCCATGTCTCCCGGGCTCTTGAGTGGCAGGCTTCTGGGTCATCTGTTACCTGTCCCAGAGCTCTTGCCCAGAGATGCTTGCCAGCACAGGAAGCAGCCATGGCTGTTATTTCAGTGGGTTACACTCTCGCCAACCTTGGCCTCTGGAATGGGAAGGCACGATCTTGCCTTTCCTTGAGCAAAACAGCCCGCCCCGGAGTGGTCTTCTTGGCGACATTCAGCTTCCATTAAGCGGTAATTTTTCTCATGAGCCAGTCATCCCTTCACAGACTCTGTCCAGCAGCTCCACTGCGACAACCTCATTTTAGAAAATGAAGATGCTTTGAACCAAACTGAACGGGTTTTGCAGAGCCAACCCCGACTTGACTCACCTCAGTGTTTGGCGCTGGAGTCCCCTCCTCATCTGCTGGGCCTGCCCTGCTAAGGTCCGTGGGCCCCCAGGGCAGTGTCCCCACTGCTTGGCTATCGGTTCCTCATTTTCTGTTAACTCCCCAAGGGCTGGCTGCTCACAGCTGGCACTGGGTCAGTTCTGGAGAAGCCTCTTTAATACTTGAACATGTCATCATGGCTGGTGCATTTGTCTTTCTTGACACAGTTCTTGGAACCCCTTGGGAGCCCCATTTCCACCTCAGGTTCTAGGGAGAGGTGAGGTGGCTGAGGAAGTGGTGAGGAAGACTGAGAAAGGCCACAAGGGACCTTGGGTGTCCTCCTTGGGTGGTTCTATTGGGCTTTTGCTACAGACAACTGGGGTAATTCTAGACGAACTGGTGATCTGGAGCTGGATGGCTCAATGCATTGTGTGTGGAAACTGGCCCCACCACGTGGACTTCTACGATGAAAATGAATCTCCTATCCTCATCACGAAGCTCAAAGGCAACAAAAACATTGCTTCTGGGCAGTAACCATGGAAACTTCCCATTACTGTGGACAGCCCACCACCAGAACAGACCCCCTTGGTTTGTGCTTCCCTGAGGGATGGCAGAGAGTGCTCCCCATCCTCCTCCCTTCCTGCCACCTCATTGCATTGCCCCTGCCCTGCCAGGTCAGGGTTCCCACACCCAAGAGCTACTGGTAGTCAACTCTCGAGGCTCACCCTGCTCTTGGTGGATGCCAAGGGGAAGAGCCCTGGAGAGGGGAAGAGCCCTGGAGAGGGGAAGCAAAAGGATGGGGGTGAAGACAGGCAGAGATGATGACATCCAGCAGCTCCAGTGAGAGACAGGAGCTGGGGCAGGCTGCTGGTGTCATTGGGGATGCTATTAAGGGCATTCATGAGGCAGCATGCACGTCTGGAATCCCATCTGACTGGCATCAAAAAAGTCCCTGTTCCACACATTCTGGAAGGGGAACCTTAATTAGGCATGAAGAGATTTATCAAACAGCAGCCCCTTGGAGCTGTTGGTCTCTTTGCCATCTGGACGGATGGTTTCCTATCCTGTGACAACAGCGGCAGGAATGATTTATGAGGTCTCACAGCTCCACCCCTTGGGCCTGGCAAAACCTGAGTGGCTTTTGTCCTTCCTACAAAGGAGTGAGATTTTGCCTGTGTTGATGGGCACATGAGCTGAGCTTTGCCTGACTCTGTGAAAGTGATGCCCAGGCCATGGCAGCCAGGATGATGCTTAGGGTCTGTTTTCAGTTTACAGTGACCCAACCACAAGGATTAACAGAAAAAGCCCTGGAGCGGGGATGAGAAGATGTGGGTGCAAATTCTGCCCGTGAGCTATGTGGCTTCACGTGGTTTTTTTGCCCCAGTTTTATGACCTATACAATGGGGATAATGATTTCTGTGTCTGCCCGACTCACATGATTTTTTGGGAGGTTCCCGTGATATTATAGATGCAAAACGACTTCATTAATTATACGGCCCATGACAGGTATTAAGGATTTAAACCAACATACATTTATTGAGCAACTGCTGTGTGCTATGCACCATCCCCGGTGCTGTGATGGACACGGATGAAGAAAACACAGTCCCTGCCCTTGGCGAGCTTACAATCTAAAAACGGTCATAGGACAAGTGCACAATAACTATAATACAAGGCAGAATATGGTAAGTGCCATGAGAAAGGGACAAATAAAGTGCTACGGTGGTTCAGCGGAGGGAGAGATCCCAGTGGTTGGTAGATCAGAAAGGGCATCATGAAAGATGTGGTTTCTGCGGGGCCTTGAAGGAAATAGAAGAGAGTGTTCCGGGAGATGAGAACGGCAAGAGCAAAGGCACAGAGACAGGAAAACTGGGCACCCCTTCCTTCCAGGAATGACACTATTCTAGATGGACTGGCGCAGGAGATAAAGGAAGAATGGGGCCTTATTGGGTGGTCTATAATGTCAGGATGAAGACTTGTACATTAATGTGGGCCAGGGGAACTTTGAAAAGTTAGTGAATGGCTGGAGATAGAAATGCTTATGCATGTTCAGGATGGACTGGAGAATGTGCAAGCACTCCTGAGGAAAGCTTGGGGGAGCGGGGGGAGGAGACAGCTGCTGAAATTGGCCGTACCACAAGAAGGCAAGGGTGGTGCTCGTGGGAATACGTGGAGGAGAGTTGGAAGATGACTTTAGGGTCTCTGAATTGGATGGTTGAGAGGGTCATGGGTCTTCTAACAGAACAAGGAGGAGGAAGGGGAGGCAGAGGCGATAAATTCGGCTTTAGATGTGTTGAGTTTGTGGCGCTGCAGGAGCAGGAGGGGTGAATGTCCAGTGAGCAGCGTGCAGACTGAGCCTGGAACTGGGGAGAGGGGCTGGGCTGCTGGAAGAACGGAGGGTGGATCCCAAGGGAGGCCGTGAGGTTGCTGATGGAGAGGATAGGGATGTAATGAAACAGGCCGAGGAGAGGACACCAATGTGGGCAACGGCTATGCTGTGGGGCAAGGAGGAGAGAGGGAAATGTCAGGTCTACCTCGGCTCCTTTTTGGATCAAGGTGAGAGTGTCAATAAATAAATCATAAATACATAAATAAATAAATATATAAATAAATGACAAATAGTCCTTGGGAAGGGAGGAGAAAGACCATGAAAACATGGCGTCTTGTCCACCAAGGGGACAGGTAGCGTCCAGGAGGGGTCACTGTAGAGCCAGGTGATGCAGAGAGCTGGTGATGAGAAGGGGCTTTTGGACATGGGCACACAGAGAGTCCCAAGTTGCTGGTCCTGGGGGCATGGAGGCTGAGAGGCGGTCAGGAAGTAAGGCAGAGCAAGCCCGGAGACCCCTTCCCAGGTCTGTGGTGAAGGGAAGGTGAGGGAAGAGTCCACAGGAGCCAGGGTGGGTGGAACGAGTGTGCATTGATGGACAGATAGGAGAGAGGGCAGAGGAGTGGCTGAGGGGTAGGAGAAAATGTCTCTGGCAAGAGGACAGACGTTGCTTCCTTCGAAATGGGAGGAAAAAGGTGAAAGAAGAGGGAAGAGATCAAGAGATTCTGAGGAGAGGCCTCATTTCAGAAGCTCCACCTTTTCCGCGAAGGAGGAAGCTGATGGTGGGCGTCGTATGGGGGCTTGAGGCGAATGGAGAACGTCTGAGGGACTTCCGGGTGGGTGATGGTGGGGTGCCTGAGGATTGGCTGAAGGTCAACAGGAGGTGACTGAAAGGGTCACCTGGCTACGGCCTGCTCCTGGGATGCCTGTGACAACTGTAATTACAAGGCAGCAGATCGGGGTACCGGGTGCTGGCTGGGACTCCTCAGGGCAGCCTGAGGCTGGCCGGCCTATGCCGGAGGCGACAGTGGACCCTCACTCAAACAGCTCTAACTCGAGGGAAGGCCAGGCCGCTTCCTGACTGTGCGTGCCCAGATGGAGAAGGACGAGGAGGGAGGGAAGCCGAGGGCCCTGGAGCTCCTGCCATCACATGGCCAAGGCATTGTGGCAGCTCAGGACCCACGAGTTGGGGGATGGTGACGGGTGGATTGACCTGGGTCTCCAGCCTTTCTCCGGAGAGAAATGGAAGGCGGGTTGTAAGGGCTCCTTCCACTTCAACTGCCATCAGTTACCGTTGAAGGAACCAAGATGGGAGAGAAAGCAAACCATGTTTTCCAAAGAGCTCTGGCCCTTAAACTCCTCAGGGAGGGTGCGGGCAGGTGGACGGACCTGACCTCAGGGCTCCCCTCAGAACTCACCACTGGAACGTCCTGGAACCCAAGACCTTGGCTAATCCACTGACGCCCTGTTGACAATTCTGCGTGCTACCCAGGGCACCGCAAGCTTCAGAAATTAAACGTCTTCCAAGGCCTCTGAGATCCTCAACATGAAAGGCTCTGGAGAAGTGTAAAATACGATACTAATTATTTCCGCTTCTTGTGAGGAGTCCAAACCACTTAGTTCCCACAGAGGCGGTTAGGGCTGTTGCTTTTTTAAATATTCATTTTATAATGCAAACCCCAAATCTCAAACTTCCAGCATCCAGAACAACAAGGAAGGAAACACAGAGATGTGTAACTGGTCTGGAGCCGGAGCTCCCGCCTGTGGGGTTAACGGGTCTGAATATCCTTCCGCCCCCTCCACTCGCTTCCCATCAGCCATTAGTTTAGACCAAACGTCCCATTCTGAGTTGCCGTTGATTAATTATGTCCAGTCTCATATGCTTGGGAGCAGATCTTGATTACTTTTCTTAACTCCCTTCACCTTCAAGATAATGGTTTTTTACTTAACTTTCAAATATGTTCTAAAACACTGTTATTTATCAGGCGAGGGAACACATCTAACAAATCAAGCTGGCTCATGCTTGTCTATATGTGACCTGTGATTTCAGCCCCTAAGTTATTGGCACTGAGCCCAGATTTCCCCAGGGAGATTATGTCCAGTATTTGGATACTGCATTTGGCTTTGGGTTAAAAAAAAAAAGTCTTAACTATTAATCTTCACAGGGGAAAAAAAAGACTTTGCAAAATTCTAAAATCATTGCCTCTGTGGGGAGAGGGGGGTGGGGGTGGACACGGGAGCCTCTCCCTGCAGAATTGAAAATCTCAGTGTTGGAGCTCAGTGCCAGCTAGTGTGACCATCAGGATAGAAAAGTGACAAGAAAGTGACGTTGCCACAGCAGTCTGGCTGCAAGGCCCCGTGGAGTGCGCAATGCAGAAAGGAAACAGAGAGCGTGGTTGCAGAGAAATGGAGTGAGATGCTGAACATTCGTTCAAGTCTCATACTCTGGGGTTTTGGCACCCAGAAAGGCAATCATATATATTTTTAAAAGGATGACATTTATCTTTGCAGTGCCCTTTCAAGCTTTTGCTGTGGCTTCCCTGGTGGCAGAAGGAGACGGTACAGTCCCCCATGTGACATTCTAACAGGGCAGGAAGGAGGCTAACTCTGAAGATGAAATCTCAGTGGCCCTTTTTCCTTAGCAGACTCAAGTTGCTTTAAAGGACACCCACCACAACCACCACATTTTGGACACTCTTCTGCCTTATTCTGGGGTGGAGGGCCAAGCCTTAGCAGGAGGTCACGATTTTTCAAAAACACGGATTGGAACACCCCAGCTTGTCAGTGGCATCTGCCCGCTCCATCCCAGGTTCCTGGTGGTTCTTGCTAAGGCAGAAGATGAACCATCCACCGTGTCTTCTCTAGCCTTCTCTCCATAGCTGTGGAGGCCCATCGGGGACAGGTGAGTCAACTGTGATCCATCCTGTGGGCAGTTGAGTTCGTGGGACAAGGTCCTCAGCTGTGACGTGCCCTCTGCTTCTTGGTGTCCCTGTGCTCCTTTGCTGAGCTGAATGCTCCAACCTCCCTCTCCTCCATGAACAGCACCATTTTAGACTTGGCTTAAGTTGTCCCCTCTGGGTCTCGGCTCACCCAGAATCCACATTTCCCAGAGGCTCGGGGCAGCTCCCAACAGGTGGCTCTCCATTCAACCATGAGCCCAAAGATCCCTCCAAGCCAGGAGGCAGTTAGTCATTCAAAGTCATGGGACTGACTTCTTTTCATGTCAAGTCCTTCTGCCCCCAAAGATGGACTGAGTTTCAATCCAGTTCGAGTGGGTTCTCCACACCTTCTTCCTGTGGCTTATCTGCCTAATGCTAGATAAACACCACACAGTTATAAATACTCAGGTCAATATATATATGCAGGTATAGATATATATATTCTGGTCACTGTTTTACACTTGAACAAAGAAAACCACTAGCCTGCTTGTTCTATAGTTTGTGCCACCCCGACTCCCATCTGCCTGTGGTGTAGCTGGCAGGAAATGTGAGCCACTGAGTCTCACGGGACGCCCACCTTACGTGGCCCCATCGCACTGGCCGACAGTCAGTTTCAAAGCCCCCTGCTCGTGCAGGCTCTTGAGGGCCTTGAACTCCAAGGGCATGGTGTGGGGGCTGGCCTGGGAGGTGTAGCCGTACTTGAGGCTGTCGTAATAGTGGTACTTGACGGGGTTCTGGTTCTGATCCAGCGGAAAGGGCCAGAAGCCATAGAGGTAGATCTGATTGCAGAAACGAGTGGCCAGAGTGTACATCAAGAGGCCGGTGGTGGGTCTTTTGATGTGGACTTTGTTGGTCAGCCAATATCTGGAAAAAAAAAAAAAAGAGTGAAGAAAGAAACAAGAAAGAAACATGGGTTTGTGAAATATCCTTTTCCAGGAAGAGGAAAATTTTATCCTGCCTGTCCGCCCCACAGCCCACCTCCTGCCACTCCAGGAACCGTGGAGACCAATCGAGCGACTGATTCCTGGTTCCCTTCACGGAGGACTGACGACCACAGCTCCTTATGCTGTGTGCTTTCACATACATGATTTGATGGAAACAAAATAGGTACGGATGCAGAAATGAGGCTCAGAGACGAATGTGGCTTGTGCAAGGTCACCTAGGTAGAAAGGGTAGGACCTTGACTGGAGCTCAGGCCTGCTGAAATCTAAGGCTGGGGCTGGCACACATTTTCTGTAAATGGCCAGATGGTAAATATTGTTGGCTTTTTAGCCAAACGGTTTCTATTGCAACTCTTGGTCTCTGCTGTTTTACCACAAAAGAGCCACAGACAACACCCATGGGTGTGGCCAGGCTTGGTGCTCTGGCTGCAGTGTGCTGACCCCCAATAAAGGTCTGACTCTCGCATGGTGCCCACTGCCTCGCCTTTGCAGGGGTCCCACTGTGCTTCCCTTTGCATCTGTATCGCTATTCCTGACTCTGGCAGGGACCGACTTTCTTGCCTCTTGGGCATCACTGAATTGCCTTCCCATCCCTGTCTGCAGGACCCCCACCCTCTGATGCAGGTTGCTCATCTCTGACCATGAGTGGCTTCCCTGAAGAGCTGAGAGGGCACCAGACAGTTGTCTGCCCTGCGAGGCTGAGTTCTGCCACATTCTGTCTTCTCAATGCATGTCACTGTGTTTGGCGTAGCCACCTCTGAAATGAGAGTCCCCACTTCCTGCCGCAAGGAATCTGTCAGGGGTAATGAGAGGAGATGCAGAGAAGTGGGAAGAGCATGGCATTAGGCTGAAGGGTCCCTGTGCTGAGAGAGGCGCTGAGCTACCTCTGTACATAGGGGGTCTTGGTTTACCCGAATCAAGAATGCAGTGAGGAGGGAACCATCTCTATTTCCCAGGCTAGAAACAGAGGCCCCGGGGAACTAAGCATCTTATCAGACTTGGGTTTCAGTGACATTCTGTCACCAACTATCAGTGGGACTTTGAGCAAGTCACTTCTCCCAGCTGGACCTAGTTCTTCACAGTTAGGCAATGATGCGCCACAGACAAGGGGACCACCAAGAGATCCTCCAAATTGCAACACAATCTAGAAGTTTCTCCAGGAGTGGGACATCCATTCTCTTTGCCATCATTCCTGCTTTCCATTGTGTTTCTTCTCCTGCTTCGATTCAGAACTCACTGGGATGTGTGGTCCAACCTCTTTGTTCTACTTATCCTATGCTGACCCCCTTTATATGCAATGCATACGCCTTGGTGGAAAGATGTAATTCCTTATCACAAACTCCTTACTACTATGTGTCTACACCACACACTGTCCATGCTCTTCTGTCCTCAAACCCTATGGGCTTCCACCCCATGTGCTGCCATTTGCCACTGTGAAAAACATCCACTCCCCACCAGAGGCGCAGGCCAGCACAGTTCCTGAGGACCCCTCAGCATGGTGATGTGTGTGACTTCATAGTCAAACATACCAATTAAATTCATGCCAGAAGTAAAAGCATGCCAGGCAGAGCACGTACATATTACTGAAAGCAGAGAATCTGTTTCACATTATTCAAAGTTTGGGGGGCAGGCAGCTTTTCTAGAAGCTCAAGTAAGTCCTTCTTTTTGCAAGAGGGTCCTTCTGCAGCTCCAAATGGGAGTCCCAAAACATTTCAGAGAGACAACCTTAAATCCTTTACTTTTTGGAGGAGGCATTATCCTTGGCATCAGACAAGGTCATAGATTCCTAATAACCCATATAATTTCAGTAAACCATGTGATATTTGATATAAGGAAACTTATTTCACAGATCCCTCCCATCCCTACCTGTCTGTCAGGCTGGGGTGATCTGAATCTCCCTGCGACGTTGCTGATGGACACCAGGCTCCCGGAGTGAACGTGAACTCCCTCCGGGTGGCCCCCGGGACAACCGCTGTTTCACAAGTCTATTAGCTGAAAACCCCTTTCCTTGCACCTCCTCCTATTTCATCCTCTTTGGGCCAGAAAACTTCCCTCCAGCTGAATTTTCCAACTCAGAATCAGATGGAGGGGCCAAAGGCAGAGAATATAGAACAATGGTTCCAGTGATGGCAAACACAATAGAAAAATAAAAGGAAAAAGCATCTGTGGACACATTGCAGACCTTTGTCATTTCTTCCCCGCATTGCTGAGGAGCCTAATCACAGCTAATATGTAGGAGGCATCCTGGCAAAGTGCTCATCTACCTTGGCTTAACCACCTCCAATAACGGGGAGCTCACCCCCTCCTGAGCTAGTCCCTTGCATTTTCAGCTCTAGCTCAGTGGTTCTCAACCTTGGCTGCACAACGGAATCATCTGGAGCTTTAAGAGATCCTGGGTCCCACCTCCAGGGGCAGCCTGGCACTGGGATTTTTAAGACCTCACCCAGCGATTCAAATGCAGACAAGGCTATGAACTCCTGCTCTCACTGGTAGCTGGTTCTGCCAAAAGAACCCAAGAATGAGACATATTTAGAGAAAAAGAAGGAAAAAGAGTAAGCGTAAGCAATAGTCGTGGAGTTTTAAAGACGATTGGGCGTGGAGAACTCATTTAGCCCAGAGGCCTGGCAGGGGCTTATAACAGAGCGAGCTGGGAGTTGGGACGTGTGTAAGGAGAACCGACACCTGGCCTCACTGTTGCCAAGGCAATAAGGAGTGGTGGGGACTGTGGCATCTAAAGGAGCAGCCAGTTTTATTGTTGTCCGTTATGATGATGCCAAATTATCTGATTTTTTCAAGGGTATCAGAAATCTGGATTTTTATGCAAATGCGCCAAATTTTTAAATGTTGGCAACTAATTAAAAATTTTTTTTAAAACACCATGTGAGGTCCTATTGAGTGAGTCAAACAGACCATGTCTGTGGGTAACTCATAAGGCTCCTGGATTCAACTGGTCCTTTTTCACTTTACAGAGGAAAACATGGGAGTCCGTGGTGACTTGCCTAAGAAGAGGCAAACTTCTCGTGCAGCTGGTTAGATAGAGCTCGGGGAACATGCTCCTCCCGCTTCTGGATCTGGGGCCTTTTTCACTCCTCGGTGGTTCTGGGAGGGTTGGGGCTAGGAGTGAACTGGCTACAGCTGCTGTTGACACTATCCAGGGACACATGAGACACTGGCAGTGACCCCACACGAGAGCATCTCAGTTCATTCCCTGAGCAAATTCAAGCCCTAATGCCAGCCACATGCCATATAACGGATTTGTGGTTTGTTTCTTTTCTGAGAGTAAGACTTTAGCAGCGTTTCAGAAATGACTCTCTCTTCAGGCCAGCAATGCTAGGCCCAGAGACAGGGAGGGAAGAGCTTCATCAGTGGTAGAAATAGCTCATGGGTGGGTCTGAGGTTACAGACACGTGCTGTGCCCTCCCTGGAGACGTGTCTTTCCCCAACATGTCCTCTTGGTGAACTCTTTTTTTCTCCCCTCAAACTAAGCACATGAATCACATCTTCCTGGAAATATTCCCTTTGTTCCACCCTCTTCCCAGCTCAGACTGAGTTCATCCCTTCCACCTACGGTCATGAGCTTTGTTTCTACTTCTCCTATTGTGCTTATCAACTGGGGCTGATAACTCAGTAGGGTAGCGGTTGGTCTCCCACGTGGCAGGGGTCCTGCCTTGCACTCCTTTGTAGAGGGTTCAAAGGCACCTGGTTCCGGTGTGTGGTGCAGCCAAGGCCCTGTGGCAGAGACAGCAGCACTCAACAAATACTCCATGTGTTCTCCCACATCTCCCAGCATCCTTTGTTATTGCACTGGGGTCATGTGACCAGTTCTGGCCAATAGGTTGCAACAGGAGATGTATCTCTTCTGGGCCAACATTCCTTAAGATCAGGCCCTCTGGCTTCCTCTTCCCCTGCCTCGGAGAACTTCAAAGCCTCCTGTAAGATGGCATCAGCCTGAGACGGAAGAATCCTCGATCCCTGAATCACTGGTTGGAAGAGAGCCCCTGCCAACCTCCATCACGCTTTGCAAGAACCGGAAATACACTTCTGTGGTGCTAACCCATGAGGGGTTGGGCTTTGTTAGTGTAGCATGGTCTAGAATTGATTATCCTGGCTTCTGTTGCACTCAGCAAATGTTTGACTCAAATTGGATTGAAAAATGGCAAGAAGTAGAGAGGAAAGGAGGAAGCTAGCAGCATGCACAGCTTTGTCACTGTGGCAGCTGGACCAGAAACAGACACGCCCAACCTCTCAGATCTGGCGCCAGGCTTTTCACCCAGAATCGCCCCCTGGGAAAGGTGTAAACAGCCAACGAGGCTCCAGAACGAACTGAGAGCTTGGTGGCATGGAGGGACCCACTTATTTCCTCTTCTGTCTCCACGGGTAAACAAGAACTCCTGAGCGATGTCTGACAGCGACACGGGGGCACTGTTTAATGAGCAGCTTGTGATAGAAGCTGACTGAGTTATGCAGGAACAAATCACTCTGGATTTCTTTCGTATCTCCTCCGTCGCTCTGGCCAATTTACAGACTGTGTGCGTGGCTGACTTGTAGACTATTTCTTTCCTTAGGATAACAGCTGGGTGTTAAAACACAAACTAATTAATTTTGCCTTCCCAAATGAGGTTAGCTGGGTGCATCCGGGACGTTGTATTGACAATGAACCTTTAATATCCCAGTCTTGAGATTTTAATTAGGAGGCAAAGTAATCTCAAAGAAGGCAGTAATTATTTTTCAAATTGGTTACCCCCATTGCCGAGATGATTAGGCGCTGTATTTTATGAGCATGGACAGCAATAAATGAGGATTGCCAAAATCATCTCAAAAAGCACATTTGTCCTTCTTCCTGGATTCCTGGGCTCGGTATGTGGCAAGAATGGTGGCAGCCACTTCTGGAACAAGGGACCAAAAGGGCTTTCTCCAGTAAAA